ATTTTACCCCCTATTACAGATCTGATTTAAACTGCGTGAACAGAATCAATTCCTCTTCTACTGCAAAACCACTGTAAATTCTAAAGACAAAGAAGCAAAGTGGCACCATACTCTTTTATTTCAATCCTCAAACAGTATAAGATGACAACTTCTGCCACCAAACCATGCAAGTAATAACAAAGGAAAACATTAACAACAACACAACAGTCACTTCAGGGTAGTTCACATTTCACAGCAGTGCTCTGGCAGTACTGGCAAGTGTTTCTGGCCAATTGCCTCCAGGAGCAGCAATCCCGATGAAGCCCTTCTGATCTCAGCAGAACCACCACTGCATCTTCTCCCTGATGGTTTGCACTCTGAGGCACTAACAGCACAACTATTACACTCGCCAGCCTTTTGTAAACCTCATCGTAAAATATGTAACTAGGTATTGTGCGTGATGGCAACAAAAACTAAAAACAGAACAGCGGTGGAAGAGTAAACTCGAATGCTCCCAGTAAGGCATCAGGGAATCGCTGCTGGCTGGACCCTTCATATTTCACCAGTTAAAAGAAAAGTTTTTATTTACATTTCTTGGCAAACCCAATATTCAGAAGCTTAACCAGCAGGCTCAAGTTAAAAGTTTAAGAGACAGTCCCCTCCTTTTTTTTGGTAAATAATTTTCATATAAAACATGAAATCAAGTTCTACTTATAAAAAAACTGAGTATTTATAATAGTAAAAATATATATGTTCATATTTCTCTTTTTAAAAAGATACTTAGAAACAATACTTCAAAAGACTGGAGCTTCCTGCCAGCCCCTCATCCTGCCAGCTTCCCGTCTGGCACAGGTACGTTAAGGCAAAGGCTCGTGGAGAGGCACATCCACCCGGCCGAGGGCTGGGGACTCGGCGTCCCCACAGGCCCCTCCACAGGGTCAACAGGGAGCCTTCTCCCTCATGTTCACTGAGCCGTCCTGCATCCCAAAGTAGACTCTTTCAGCCATGTTGATGAAGAGACCTGTGTCCACCACACCTGCAGGACAAAGGGCAGAAAGAAGCATTAACTGTCAGCTTCCCAAGGCCAAGGAGAGAGTCAAGGACAGCAGGGTCAGTAGGAGCAACTACCATTAGCAGCACTGGACAAATGACAGATCCAAAGATTTTCCCTCACACAACAAAAGAAATTCTGCTGATTTTATTTCTTCTTGCAACCCCTTTCTCCCCTGCCATCTTGGCTATCTTGCTATACCCCAATGTGCCAAGCTTTTCCCTGCCTCAGGGTCTTTGCTCATGCTCTTCCCTTTGCGGGGCTAGTCATCTTTGAGTGCCTCAAGGGGCTGGTTCTTCTCTGTCCTTCAGATATCAGATGACAAGGTGTCATTTCAGAGAGGCTTTCCATGACTCCTCCAACCCCCACTCCAGTTACATTCAATCACACTATCAGACTGAGAAGTTTCATCCATAGAGTTCAAGATATTTGCAGTACATACACCGAACAAAAAACCCACATCAAAATACATAAACAACTCCCCAAATCAACCAGACAACTCAGTAAAATAACAGACAAAAGATTTAAAGAGGTACTTTGCAAAAGAGGCTATATAAAATGGCTATAAACACAAAAAATGATGTACAAACTAATCAAAAGGGAATGCCAATTAAGACTATAAGATACCACTCCTCATTCACCAGAATGAATGTAATGAAATTTGACTAGGATGCAGATACTCCCACATGTTGATGATGGGAGTAAATGGGCAAAACTACTTTAGAAAACATTTGTTAGTACATCTCCTAGAGCTGAACATATTCAGACCTACTGATCCAGCAATTAGGCACACATATGGTCATCAAAACACATAGGCAACAGCCAAGAACTGGAAACACCCAAATGCCCGTCAAGCATAGATAATACATACATTTTTTTCACACACATATATACTATGGAATACTGTTCAACACTGAAAATTAACTATAACTGTAAGCAACCTTTACCAAAAATATTTACATATACAGTTGACCTTGAACAATATGGGTCTGAACTTTGTGGGTCCACTTACATACAGACATTTTGCAACAAATACATTGGAAAATTTGTGGACATTTGTGACAATCTGAAAAAAACATTTTTTTCTAGCTTGCTTTATTGTGAGAATACAAAATACATGTTCATCAACTGTCTATGTTATTGTTAAGGACTCCAGGCAATAGTGGGCTATTAATCGTTAATTTCTGGGGAAACAAAAGTTATACGTGGATTCTAACTACACGGGAATCAGCAACCCTAAGTCCCATGTCGTTCAAGGGTCAACTGTACATACACATACCACAATGAGAGAATCCTCTTCAACTATCAGAAACAAGTCTGATGGCCCCAGTGTGCAGGGAAAATGCACGTGCACACATTGCTAGTAGAGGGTGAACTGACACAATCCATGGGAAGCAATTTAGCACCATCTAGCAAAGTCAGATACATGCATCGCTGATCTAGTAATTCCCTTTTAACAAACTACTGGAAACAAGTTTCCACTAGCAGAGAAATAGTTAAACAAAATAAGCAGTAGCCATAAAATGGAAAGCCATGCAGTTGTTTTAAAAGTTAGAATGAGGAAGCTTTTCTGGGAACCATTATATAGTGAGAAAAAGTACAGAGCAAAACATCCAGTATCTAGTGTGCTGTCACTTGTGTGGAAAGGGAAAGAGGGTGACCTGCATTTATGAAGACCAAGTCAAGAAGGACATACAATTTTGGTAACACTGGCTGCCTACAGACAGGGAAAAAGGTAGTGGAGTGGAGGGAAGAGACTTTTCATTGTTTACTTGTGTAATTGTGAGCATAAATTAAAGATAAATAAAATTAAAACTTTCAAAGGCAGCCCCCAACGCATAAACAAATAAAATCATCTCTCAGCAATGAACAGCCTTTGGTAGAGGAAAAGATCTGCTTTTCCTCTACCCGTCAAGCACAGAAAGGTCCCAGCACACTGCACAACCGGAGCCACCCCAAGACAATCACAGAGGCCACTCAAGACCCATCGTTTTCACAAATTCTGAAATACGAGGTGCCAGCTTCCAGCTGATCCAAGAAAGTCAAACCAGGTTCAGAAAAGGCTTCAGAGAAAAAGCAGAGATGAATGGCAGCAGTCTAAGGTCTGGTCTTAGAGCAACCTCTCCTCAGGTCACTGAGATCCAGCAAGTGACTGACCCACCCTGCCCACCAAACATGGAAAGGGGAAAGAGGCTAATGAGAACATGGGGGACAGAGCCCCACTGGCTCTGACCCATCTACAGAGCCTCTCTGCTCTGGATGTAGCCCAATGGACATCCAAGGGATTGACCAGCCACACACCTGTTCAGCTGCCCTCTAAGTGTCCTCACATATAAGAATATACATGGGACAAGGGCAGGACGACAGGGACAAATGAAACTTGCCCTACTTCTCCTCCCTTGACTTTGGTCCAGCACCAAGTATTATCATGGATCAAATGGGGAAGAGACAACAGAGAACAAGAAAAGAACAAACCACATAATGATCCTTGTTGGCACTATGCTAAATGATTTAATACTAGCCTCTCTTTTTTAATTTTCTTCACTTTAACTTCCTAATAAAACTGAACTTCTCTGGGATGCAGCTTCTATTTACTGAGGTGGGGAGCAAAGTACGGGAGAAATTTCCTCACAAAGGACAGACATCTCAGTATCTCCATAAGCCAAGATCTGAGCAGGGGCTACAGAGCCACCTAGTGGGCACTGCGAGAAACCCACCTACAGAGGAACGGCTGACAAGGGTGAGCTGCTCCCTGGGTGGTCCCTTGGGTTTGTCTGCATCATCAGGGGCAAGTTTTTTTTTTTTACTAACAGTGACCTCTACATCCTCTCTTCTTGCTGCCCTCTTGGCTCTTTAGTTCTTTCACTAAAATGAGATCCCTAAGTGAGGGAATAAGCAAAATTTAACTCATCTTTTTTACTTAATAAAAGATGGTCAACAGATCATAGTAAGGTTGGAAGACCTACCTCTTTATTGCAAGGCGTATATTCACACCACTTTCATTCCCAATAGCATGGAAAACTTAGAAGCTAGTATGTTTAATTAATGGTGAAGATAGTATCCTTTCTTCCTAGGGATTTATTCATCCAACAAACACTCCCTTGTGTGATGGGCTCCATTTAAACCAATTTAATCCTCCCAACAACCCTATGAGGTGGATACTAGAATTGTGAAGTGTATGAAGGTCACACTGATAGGGCAAGGCTGGGTTAGGATTCCCACCCAGGCAGACTGCTCCAGAATCCACTCTCAGCCACTACAATCTACTAAATTGACCTTATCTGCCCCATTAGCCAGTTCTGGCCCAAGAATATTCCATGTCATGGAGTATCCCCAATTAGAATTTCAGTCTCTCAATATTGTTAAGACTGACACCTCTCACAACTGCCTCCTCCTTTTAATTCCTTCATATAAGCCCTTGATACCACCTCTGGCCTGGACTCGTGACTCACCTCTACACTGCCCACCCAGCCTTCACCCAGGGCCCCAGAGCCCTGGTCCAAGCTTCATTAGAGGCTCTCTACCACTCCCAGCGTTCACGTCACACAACCGGTCCTTGACCCAGCACCAAAGCAAGGTGGGACTAAAAGCTCAGGATCTAGAGGCAGACAACCCAGGGCTCCCATCTTGGCACTGCAGTCCTCAGGAAAATCATTTAATTTCTCTTGATGTGTGTCCTCCTCTGTATCTCATAAAATTGGGAAATCAAATGAGACATTTTTAAACACTTAGCACAGTACCTACATTACCCTTTGGTAAGGCATAGACCAAAAGCCACCTTTCCTCCACGGACTTCCCCACACTCACCAAAAGAAGCAGCCTATGTGCTCTCTGGACTCTTGGTATTCCTTTAGTGGAATTTAACACATTTCATCTGACTTGCAGGAACAGCTCCCCCAGGTTTTCAACTCTCCTTGAGACAGATTCCCTGTTCCACAGATGGGAACACTCCCTGCAACACGTGGCACAGCCTGCCTGTGATATTTATCTAATGAGCACGAGAAGGAAGTCAATTTTCCCCTGCTTAAGACAAGAACCCACAGAATCAAAAAGGCCGCAGTCAAGCCCCTGGAGGGGAAGGCTCTATGCTCCGTGACCACCACTCACATTACCTGGGATCATTTTGATAGCTGTGTTCACTTCACTCCATTTGTGCACCCGGTCAAACTTCCAGTCTAAGATAAAATTCCCATTATCCGTCACGACAGGACCCTAGAAGATAATTTTCCATATTTACAGAGGACGTAGGCAGAGGTAGGCATAAAAAGGCAGGAAAAGGAAGAGGGAAAGAGGCAGGTAGTAACTAAAGATAAATATCTTAATTAACCTGATCCAACCAGATCTCCCGCCTCGTCTTGTGCTTTCTAGAAGGCAGTGCTATGAAGCAGGAATGTGCAGCTCTGGAGTTAGAATCTGAGTCCTGAAGCCATATAGATACAGATCTCAGGAGAGCCATTAACCCCGTGAGCCTCAGCTTCCTCAGCAAAAAGGGGATGATGAATGATACATACTTCCAAGGCAGCTTAGGTATAAAATATAGGTAAGCATTTAGCACAGGGAGGGCTCAACAATTCTTAGCTAGGGTCCAAAACTACAGCAACAGACCTGACTACCAATGTGGAACAACCCTCTCATGGCTGCATGGTAGGTACCCAGTAATACAAAATATGACATTATTTCACCACCACCTCCCATGAAAAAATTAGGGAGCAGAGATGGGTTCTCAGCACAAACAGGCAGGGGGTAGTTTTAGCTAATTAATCCAGAATTCCTCAACAGCTCTGGACAAAAGCATTTAGGATGCCACAAATGTTGGCAGAATGCTACAGTCAAAAAGGCAAGGGACCTCAGGCTCCCCTGCAGACCAGAGAAGGAGTGGGAGTTCAGCACAGAGCTCCACAAAGGGAGGAAGAGGAAGCTGGGCTCTTGTCTGGAAGAACTCCAGCTATGAGAGAGAGCCCCCAGCACCTTCCCCCTGGAGTTACAAAGGTAGCCAAAGTCAGAGCTCTGTAAAACCACTACGATTAGGACTATGATTTTTTAAAAGTCACAAAAACGCCAGGAAGATAACACATCAAAATAATTCATCAGGTAGAATTACAGATAATTTGCTTTCTTTTCTATATCTTCCAAATTTTTTAAATAGTAGTTATGTCTATAACTACATTTAGTTTTCGCTTTACTAGTTTTGCTTGTTTAAGTGTAAGAGGAAAAAAGTACTGTGCAACCCACTTCACAAGCTGAAGATAAACATTTGGACTAAGTATCTGAGGTGTATTACTGGGGAGGAGTTCACATCTCCCAAAAACTGTCACATTTCTTGTCACATTTCACCACAGAATGAGAAAGGAAGAAAGAAGAAAATTACATCATGAAACCTGAAAATCTTTCTGCTCCAGGGGGACTTCCCAAAGCCCATTTTTAGCAGCTGTTAATCTGGGTGGTCTAGGCCTCTGGCCTCTGGTACAAAGGTCAAACCACCTGAAGAGCATCAGATCCCAAGGGACAGAGAAAAAGAATGACTCCTCCATTTGCCAGAGGATGTGCACTGCATTCAATATGAGTCTTAGTAGAGTAACTAAGAAAGCCAGCGCCCAAAAAACAACCAACAAACTGAATAAAAATAAGCAAATAAAAGACAATTGCCCAGTCTAGGTGCAGAGACCACAACTGGGGCAGGAAGGGGGACACCACACCAGGAGCCTAGCTGCCCTCGAAGCCTCCCTGGCCACTCACGGCCTTGTTGATGGCCATTCGGAGCTCAATATCGCCCCCAAACCTCTGGGTCACAGCTCGGCTCACTGGGACATAGGCCATCGGGATGACCTCAATCGGGATTCCCTTGTGCCACTGATCCCCGAGGTTCTTCGAATCTTTCCTGGAAAGAAAGAGCCAAAAAAGTACAATACAGTTTTTAACTCTTAAAGAAACACCCCCAACTCCCTCATGTAAGTTAGCTCAATGGTACAGTAGCCAAACACCAAATTCAGGGACAGGGCTGAGTATATGGTACGAGGGCAGGGGAAGGGAGCAGGGACAGTCACACGGGGCTTCAGACATACTGGCTGCTTTACTAGCTAAGAAAAGAGATATCTGAAGTAAAGATGACAAAAATGTTAAAACTGGATATGACTGGCTTGTGGTTATACAGGTCTTTATTATTTATGTTATCCTACAGCTGTATTTCATAAGTAAATACATTTTTTTAAAAATCAGTATGCTCAGGGCAGCTGCTTTCCAGCAGACTCCTTGAAGGAGAACCCAGGGCCTGATCAAAGGCTGAGCACAACACAGGTCCCACGTGGCCCTGGGGAAGCAGGTGTGCTGAGTCACGGCTGTGGGCCTGGTGTGGCCTGCTTCCTCTGAGGCTCCTGCGGGGACCGACGGAGTGGCTGATAAATGAAGACGTGCCCTGTTAGCAAGGGCGCAGGCTGTTCCCTCCTTCTTTCAATGGACATGGGCAACAGCAACTCCTGCCTTCAGCACGAAAGCAAGACACAGTCGTCCCCAACACTGGCCAAGTCCTAGCCCTCAGGCTCAGAGTCAGAGTCCTTCCATTTCTCTACTTCCTCCTCTATAAAAAGGGGTGAGGCCTTGGGTCTAATCTACCTCCTCAGTGAACAGCCCAGAACACTGAACACTGTACCTGAAATCAGCGATCACAATGAAGCGACTGGCATAGCCAGCTACAATTTTCTCCTGGGTCAGGCAGCCTCTGCGAATGGGAAGAACAGAGTGGCAAGACACAAACTCAGTTTGGTACCTAAGGCCAGATTCAGAAAACCCAAATCCACTTAATTCTGGCACTTAAAGAGAAATATGTTTTTAACTCTTAAAGAAACATCGCCAACTCCCTCATGCTGTGCAATGGACTGAACTGTGTACCCCACAAAATTCATGGTGAAGCCCTAACCCCCAGTGTGAATACAGTGCAAAGAGGAGGCCTCGCACGAGGTAATTATGATTAAATGAAGCCATGAGGGGAGGCCCTGGTCTAAGCTGAATGTCCTTACAGGAAGAGACACCAGAGAGCTCACTTCTCTCCCCCATGAGGATGCAGAGAAGGCAGCCATCTGTATGGCAAGAGCCTCCAAAACTCTGCAAAATACACTGCTGTTGTGAAGCCACCTAGTCTGTGGTATTTTGTTACAGCAGCCTGAGCCAACTCAGACATGCTGCTTCTAGTAAATGGATTATGGGAACAAGAGCCCATGTCTGGGAGAAATGGTTCCCAATTAGGCCACAATCCCATCTCAGGTGCATGTGACAGGAAGCCCTGTCACCTGAGTATGGCAACATATAACTTGAGAAGGACAAGCTTTGCACAACCTGCCCTATTTGCTATCAAGCAGATAAAGTGAAGAGAGCAGAGTCAGATTTTAAACTAATTTTGTGTCATTCCAAAGGCACTTTGATTACAGAACCAGCAGAATAGGACTTTACTCTTCAACTCACTGTTCCCTGTCCACCAGATCACACTTCAGAAACACCCACTAAATGTTTAACAGAAGAATGAATAAATATACCACTAACTGCTCACAGAGGTAAGAGCAGCTTTAAAGCAAAGATCACACACTGGGGCCCCCAGACCAAATAACCTAGCCAGGTTCTAGTCACCAGATTGCTACTCACAATCAGAAATACCAAGCTGGCTCTGTGGCCATAAGCTATCAACAATGCAGAGACAAATTCCCGTATGTCCCAGTGGCAATTTGTTTATTCTGTATTCCACTTTGCGTTGCTAAGGATGAACTGGCAGACACTCTAGCAATGTAGTCCCCACAGAACTCACCCACCGCCCTTGATGAGATTGAGATCAGCATCTACTTCGTCAGCACCATCAATGGCAAGGTCGATCTGTGCGGGGAAAGAAGGTAACAAACCCACCAAGAGCTCACGGCAAAGCTTGAACATGCAACTGTTCAGCAGGACCCCAGCAGCCCTGTTAGTTAGATACAGTTCTTCCCACGAAACCAACCAAGACATGGAGCCTCTGAGAGGTTAAGCTGTTCTACTAGGGTCACCAGGAAACAAATATGGGGCCCAGGAACCACACCTGGGTCCAGCTTTTACCCACTCCCTGTTCTTAGTGTTGGGCTTCTCTGTGAACAGGATGCAATTACTGAGACCACACAATCTCAGCGTGGGTGACATCACCCCCAAGTACAGAAATAGATGTACAATATATCATGTATGAAAATTTCACCGGGGTGTGGTGAGGGTGGGGAAATAATAGAAAACGGGCTGAGAAACACTGATTTAGAAGTCTCTGTACTCATGTGGCAAAAACACAAGCAATTTTGAGGAACAGAGAAGACACAAGGAAATTATAAAGTTGGCACACCTTCTATATGATCCAGAAGTGGAAATTACCTGAGCCTCCCCCACCCCCACTCTGGCCCCAGCAAAGCACCTGCCTAGGCCTGCCCACTCCCTCTGTGAGGAAGCTGCCCCACCAGTAGGAAGAGCAGCCAAGGGGTAAATCTGTCATCTTTCAAAATATTACTTCTCATCACTCCTGGCACTCTTAATTATGAGGTAGCCTCAATACAGCTTCTTGAAATAGCAGCACAGCTAACTTCAGGGTGCAAATTCGGTCCAAGCTGCACTTAGCAGGTGCTTGGCACAGCAGCGGTGGAAAGCTGCAGAGCTGCAGAGAAGCACTGTCACTTCCACTTTCTCAGGTTCTGCCCTTTGTCTGAGCTGCGGCCAGCACTGCTCCCCCGTACTGACCCCAGGGCCAGGCTGTGCCACACAGCTCTGTGGGGCCTGGACAGCTACAACCTCTTCTGTGTGGGTTCCACGCCCACCTTCAGCCCAAAATGCTCTTCTCACAGCACTGAATAGCTGATTCAACCTCTGCCCTGGCTCTGCCCACAGAAGTCTCCCAACAAGCCCTTCCCATGGTTTTACTAACCCCTCGGAGGCCCATGTGTACCACGATGATCTAAGTCAGTGGAACACCATCAAGTACCACTCCCCACTCTGGTTTCTGAGCTGCGGCAGCCCCTCTCCACTCTTCCAGTCCAGCCCTGCCCCCTCCCCCTTTCCCACTGTGCACCAATGCATCCCATTCTCTCAGTCCTCATCAGCCCAGCCAGTCAGGGCACTGTCCACATGTGCCCACATGCTCACCTGGAACTGCTCCCATGGTTCCCATCTACACCCCTCTGGAATGCTCTCTCCTGCCCTTGCCACGTGGCCCTCACAGCTATGCTCAAACATTATCTCTTCCCACAAAATCCTTCTAAGTGACACAGCTCTAGTGCCAGAAGCACCCAAATTCATATGCAGGCTCTGCTACTTCAAAAAGCATGGCCTTAGGCAAATGGTTTGCCCTCTCTGTGCCTTTTTCACACATAATGGCACCCAGGCTCAAGGTGACTGGAGATTAAACAGTTAAACACAGGCACACCATTTAGCAGAATACCTGGTATACTGTAAGGGCTAGTAAATGCCAGCCATGAGCGCTGCTCACGTTCGTCAACTTCAGTCCCTCCGGATTGCCTGTGTGTTTAACCCTCTTTACCATAAAACTTCATGTTAATCTGTTTTCAAATATCCATGGCTGCCTCACATTATTGCTTCTTATCTCCACTTGGTGGTAAGCATCACGGGCCAGCTGAATCTTACACTTCTGTACAAGGAAGCCTTGGTCCAGCCCTGAGACAGTCCAATCCCCCTTCACGACAGTCACTCTGAGCACTCAGGGTTAAACTACAGGGAATATACTGGAAACTAACAACCTCTCCCCTCATGACCTCAGCCAAGTTTAATATTAAAAAGTCTCAGGAGAAAAGCTAGTATGACTAACTGACCTTTCTCCTAGACTTGACAAGATATCCAGAGCCCACAACAAGGGACAGCGTAAAAAAGGAGACACACAGAGCAGCTTGACTCTCTTACCTCTGGGTGTCGGTCCAGGTCACTGAGAGTTAAGCCATACTGCAGGATGAGCTGGCGGGCCTATGGAGGACAGGAAAAGGCAGGCATAACTCTGAGCACGTGGCAAGGATTCTCAGAATCCTTTTGATTTTAAGTGTCAGACACCAAGGGCTGATCAAGCAACCCTACTCCCAAATCCAATCTGGTGCACCAACCGGTACCATGAATGGCAAAACTAAGTTAATTCAAACTGGGGGCTGAAAGGAGGCAAACAGCACATAGTGAAGACTGTTCCAGCGTTAGGCAAACAGTTCCTCAGTGACCTAGACCCCTAAAACGTCTAGTAATATAGAATATTTTTTTAAAACTTCTGTAAACAAGAACCAAGTATTAGAAAAGTTTTAAAAACAATCTAACAGTATGAAGAAAGATTGAGGAAGATCAGTCTGAATTGATACACAGTGATTTCCAGGCTATATATTATTGAATAAAAATAAGCCAAAAAAAACCCTCTACTCTCAAAAGAGTATATGATGGCAGTACTTCCAGAATGGACAAGTGAGGAGCTTAGCAAATTGAGAGCACCAGACCAGGAAAGATTCAGGATGTCTGTGGGAAAAGGTAGCATCATTTACTTTAGAGGCATGCCTCATAGTTAACCATTCAAACCAGCTGACAAAAGGAGAGAGCAGTGGTTACCACCACCTCATAGAGGAAAAGATCTGCTTTTCCTCTACCCGTCAAGCACAGAAAGGTCCCAGCACACTGCACAACCGGAGCCACCCCAAGACAATCACAGAGGCCACTCAAGACCCATCGTTTTCACAAATTCTGAAATACGAGGTGCCAGCTTCCAGCTGATCCAAGAAAGTCAAACCAGGTTCAGAAAAGGCTTCAGAGAAAAAGCAGAGATGAATGGCAGCAGTCTAAGGTCTGGTCTTAGAGCAACCTCTCCTCAGGTCACTGAGATCCAGCAAGTGACTGACCCACCCTGCCCACCAAACATGGAAAGGGGAAAGAGGCTAATGAGAACATGGGGGACAGAGCCCCACTGGCTCTGACCCATCTACAGAGCCTCTCTGCTCTGGATGTAGCCCAATGGACATCCAAGGGATTGACCAGCCACACACCTGTTCAGCTGCCCTCTAAGTGTCCTCACATATAAGAATATACATGGGACAAGGGCAGGACGACAGGGACAAATGAAACTTGCCCTACTTCTCCTCCCTTGACTTTGGTCCAGCACCAAGTATTATCATGGATCAAATGGGGAAGAGACAACAGAGAACAAGAAAAGAACAAACCACATAATGATCCTTGTTGGCACTATGCTAAATGATTTAATACTAGCCTCTCTTTTTTAATTTTCTTCACTTTAACTTCCTAATAAAACTGAACTTCTCTGGGATGCAGCTTCTATTTACTGAGGTGGGGAGCAAAGTACGGGAGAAATTTCCTCACAAAGGACAGACATCTCAGTATCTCCATAAGCCAAGATCTGAGCAGGGGCTACAGAGCCACCTAGTGGGCACTGCGAGAAACCCACCTACAGAGGAACGGCTGACAAGGGTGAGCTGCTCCCTGGGTGGTCCCTTGGGTTTGTCTGCATCATCAGGGGCAAGTTTTTTTTTTTTACTAACAGTGACCTCTACATCCTCTCTTCTTGCTGCCCTCTTGGCTCTTTAGTTCTTTCACTAAAATGAGATCCCTAAGTGAGGGAATAAGCAAAATTTAACTCATCTTTTTTACTTAATAAAAGATGGTCAACAGATCATAGTAAGGTTGGAAGACCTACCTCTTTATTGCAAGGCGTATATTCACACCACTTTCATTCCCAATAGCATGGAAAACTTAGAAGCTAGTATGTTTAATTAATGGTGAAGATAGTATCCTTTCTTCCTAGGGATTTATTCATCCAACAAACACTCCCTTGTGTGATGGGCTCCATTTAAACCAATTTAATCCTCCCAACAACCCTATGAGGTGGATACTAGAATTGTGAAGTGTATGAAGGTCACACTGATAGGGCAAGGCTGGGTTAGGATTCCCACCCAGGCAGACTGCTCCAGAATCCACTCTCAGCCACTACAATCTACTAAATTGACCTTATCTGCCCCATTAGCCAGTTCTGGCCCAAGAATATTCCATGTCATGGAGTATCCCCAATTAGAATTTCAGTCTCTCAATATTGTTAAGACTGACACCTCTCACAACTGCCTCCTCCTTTTAATTCCTTCATATAAGCCCTTGATACCACCTCTGGCCTGGACTCGTGACTCACCTCTACACTGCCCACCCAGCCTTCACCCAGGGCCCCAGAGCCCTGGTCCAAGCTTCATTAGAGGCTCTCTACCACTCCCAGCGTTCACGTCACACAACCGGTCCTTGACCCAGCACCAAAGCAAGGTGGGACTAAAAGCTCAGGATCTAGAGGCAGACAACCCAGGGCTCCCATCTTGGCACTGCAGTCCTCAGGAAAATCATTTAATTTCTCTTGATGTGTGTCCTCCTCTGTATCTCATAAAATTGGGAAATCAAATGAGACATTTTTAAACACTTAGCACAGTACCTACATTACCCTTTGGTAAGGCATAGACCAAAAGCCACCTTTCCTCCACGGACTTCCCCACACTCACCAAAAGAAGCAGCCTATGTGCTCTCTGGACTCTTGGTATTCCTTTAGTGGAATTTAACACATTTCATCTGACTTGCAGGAACAGCTCCCCCAGGTTTTCAACTCTCCTTGAGACAGATTCCCTGTTCCACAGATGGGAACACTCCCTGCAACACGTGGCACAGCCTGCCTGTGATATTTATCTAATGAGCACGAGAAGGAAGTCAATTTTCCCCTGCTTAAGACAAGAACCCACAGAATCAAAAAGGCCGCAGTCAAGCCCCTGGAGGGGAAGGCTCTATGCTCCGTGACCACCACTCACATTACCTGGGATCATTTTGATAGCTGTGTTCACTTCACTCCATTTGTGCACCCGGTCAAACTTCCAGTCTAAGATAAAATTCCCATTATCCGTCACGACAGGACCCTAGAAGATAATTTTCCATATTTACAGAGGACGTAGGCAGAGGTAGGCATAAAAAGGCAGGAAAAGGAAGAGGGAAAGAGGCAGGTAGTAACTAAAGATAAATATCTTAATTAACCTGATCCAACCAGATCTCCCGCCTCGTCTTGTGCTTTCTAGAAGGCAGTGCTATGAAGCAGGAATGTGCAGCTCTGGAGTTAGAATCTGAGTCCTGAAGCCATATAGATACAGATCTCAGGAGAGCCATTAACCCCGTGAGCCTCAGCTTCCTCAGCAAAAAGGGGATGATGAATGATACATACTTCCAAGGCAGCTTAGGTATAAAATATAGGTAAGCATTTAGCACAGGGAGGGCTCAACAATTCTTAGCTAGGGTCCAAAACTACAGCAACAGACCTGACTACCAATGTGGAACAACCCTCTCATGGCTGCATGGTAGGTACCCAGTAATACAAAATATGACATTATTTCACCACCACCTCCCATGAAAAAATTAGGGAGCAGAGATGGGTTCTCAGCACAAACAGGCAGGGGGTAGTTTTAGCTAATTAATCCAGAATTCCTCAACAGCTCTGGACAAAAGCATTTAGGATGCCACAAATGTTGGCAGAATGCTACAGTCAAAAAGGCAAGGGACCTCAGGCTCCCCTGCAGACCAGAGAAGGAGTGGGAGTTCAGCACAGAGCTCCACAAAGGGAGGAAGAGGAAGCTGGGCTCTTGTCTGGAAGAACTCCAGCTATGAGAGAGAGCCCCCAGCACCTTCCCCCTGGAGTTACAAAGGTAGCCAAAGTCAGAGCTCTGTAAAACCACTACGATTAGGACTATGATTTTTTAAAAGTCACAAAAACGCCAGGAAGATAACACATCAAAATAATTCATCAGGTAGAATTACAGATAATTTGCTTTCTTTTCTATATCTTCCAAATTTTTTAAATAGTAGTTATGTCTATAACTACATTTAGTTTTCGCTTTACTAGTTTTGCTTGTTTAAGTGTAAGAGGAAAAAAGTACTGTGCAACCCACTTCACAAGCTGAAGATAAACATTTGGACTAAGTATCTGAGGTGTATTACTGGGGAGGAGTTCACATCTCCCAAAAACTGTCACATTTCTTGTCACATTTCACCACAGAATGAGAAAGGAAGAAAGAAGAAAATTACATCATGAAACCTGAAAATCTTTCTGCTCCAGGGGGACTTCCCAAAGCCCATTTTTAGCAGCTGTTAATCTGGGTGGTCTAGGCCTCTGGCCTCTGGTACAAAGGTCAAACCACCTGAAGAGCATCAGATCCCAAGGGACAGAGAAAAAGAATGACTCCTCCATTTGCCAGAGGATGTGCACTGCATTCAATATGAGTCTTAGTAGAGTAACTAAGAAAGCCAGCGCCCAAAAAACAACCAACAAACTGAATAAAAATAAGCAAATAAAAGACAATTGCCCAGTCTAGGTGCAGAGACCACAACTGGGGCAGGAAGGGGGACACCACACCAGGAGCCTAGCTGCCCTCGAAGCCTCCCTGGCCACTCACGGCCTTGTTGATGGCCATTCGGAGCTCAATATCGCCCCCAAACCTCTGGGTCACAGCTCGGCTCACTGGGACATAGGCCATCGGGATGACCTCAATCGGGATTCCCTTGTGCCACTGATCCCCGAGGTTCTTCGAATCTTTCCTGGAAAGAAAGAGCCAAAAAAGTACAATACAGTTTTTAACTCTTAAAGAAACACCCCCAACTCCCTCATGTAAGTTAGCTCAATGGTACAGTAGCCAAACACCAAATTCAGGGACAGGGCTGAGTATATGGTACGAGGGCAGGGGAAGGGAGCAGGGACAGTCACACGGGGCTTCAGACATACTGGCTGCTTTACTAGCTAAGAAAAGAGATATCTGAAGTAAAGATGACAAAAATGTTAAAACTGGATATGACTGGCTTGTGGTTATACAGGTCTTTATTATTTATGTTATCCTACAGCTGTATTTCATAAGTAAATACATTTTTTTAAAAATCAGTATGCTCAGGGCAGCTGCTTTCCAGCAGACTCCTTGAAGGAGAACCCAGGGCCTGATCAAAGGCTGAGCACAACACAGGTCCCACGTGGCCCTGGGGAAGCAGGTGTGCTGAGTCACGGCTGTGGGCCTGGTGTGGCCTGCTTCCTCTGAGGCTCCTGCGGGGACCGACGGAGTGGCTGATAAATGAAGACGTGCCCTGTTAGCAAGGGCGCAGGCTGTTCCCTCCTTCTTTCAATGGACATGGGCAACAGCAACTCCTGCCTTCAGCACGAAAGCAAGACACAGTCGTCCCCAACACTGGCCAAGTCCTAGCCCTCAGGCTCAGAGTCAGAGTCCTTCCATTTCTCTACTTCCTCCTCTATAAAAAGGGGTGAGGCCTTGGGTCTAATCTACCTCCTCAGTGAACAGCCCAGAACACTGAACACTGTACCTGAAATCAGCGATCACAATGAAGCGACTGGCATAGCCAGCTACAATTTTCTCCTGGGTCAGGCAGCCTCTGCGAATGGGAAGAACAGAGTGGCAAGACACAAACTCAGTTTGGTACCTAAGGCCAGATTCAGAAAACCCAAATCCACTTAATTCTGGCACTTAAAGAGAAATATGTTTTTAACTCTTAAAGAAACATCGCCAACTCCCTCATGCTGTGCAATGGACTGAACTGTGTACCCCACAAAATTCATGGTGAAGCCCTAACCCCCAGTGTGAATACAGTGCAAAGAGGAGGCCTCGCACGAGGTAATTATGATTAAATGAAGCCATGAGGGGAGGCCCTGGTCTAAGCTGAATGTCCTTACAGGAAGAGACACCAGAGAGCTCACTTCTCTCCCCCATGAGGATGCAGAGAAGGCAGCCATCTGTATGGCAAGAGCCTCCAAAACTCTGCAAAATACACTGCTGTTGTGAAGCCACCTAGTCTGTGGTATTTTGTTACAGCAGCCTGAGCCAACTCAGACATGCTGCTTCTAGTAAATGGATTATGGGAACAAGAGCCCATGTCTGGGAGAAATGGTTCCCAATTAGGCCACAATCCCATCTCAGGTGCATGTGACAGGAAGCCCTGTCACCTGAGTATGGCAACATATAACTTGAGAAGGACAAGCTTTGCACAACCTGCCCTATTTGCTATCAAGCAGATAAAGTGAAGAGAGCAGAGTCAGATTTTAAACTAATTTTGTGTCATTCCAAAGGCACTTTGATTACAGAACCAGCAGAATAGGACTTTACTCTTCAACTCACTGTTCCCTGTCCACCAGATCACACTTCAGAAACACCCACTAAATGTTTAACAGAAGAATGAATAAATATACCACTAACTGCTCACAGAGGTAAGAGCAGCTTTAAAGCAAAGATCACACACTGGGGCCCCCAGACCAAATAACCTAGCCAGGTTCTAGTCACCAGATTGCTACTCACAATCAGAAATACCAAGCTGGCTCTGTGGCCATAAGCTATCAACAATGCAGAGACAAATTCCCGTATGTCCCAGTGGCAATTTGTTTATTCTGTATTCCACTTTGCGTTGCTAAGGATGAACTGGCAGACACTCTAGCAATGTAGTCCCCACAGAACTCACCCACCGCCCTTGATGAGATTGAGATCAGCATCTACTTCGTCAGCACCATCAATGGCAAGGTCGATCTGTGCGGGGAAAGAAGGTAACAAACCCACCAAGAGCTCACGGCAAAGCTTGAACATGCAACTGTTCAGCAGGACCCCAGCAGCCCTGTTAGTTAGATACAGTTCTTCCCACGAAACCAACCAAGACATGGAGCCTCTGAGAGGTTAAGCTGTTCTACTAGGGTCACCAGGAAACAAATATGGGGCCCAGGAACCACACCTGGGTCCAGCTTTTACCCACTCCCTGTTCTTAGTGTTGGGCTTCTCTGTGAACAGGATGCAATTACTGAGACCACACAATCTCAGCGTGGGTGACATCACCCCCAAGTACAGAAATAGATGTACAATATATCATGTATGAAAATTTCACCGGGGTGTGGTGAGGGTGGGGAAATAATAGAAAACGGGCTGAGAAACACTGATTTAGAAGTCTCTGTACTCATGTGGCAAAAACACAAGCAATTTTGAGGAACAGAGAAGACACAAGGAAATTATAAAGTTGGCACACCTTCTATATGATCCAGAAGTGGAAATTACCTGAGCCTCCCCCACCCCCACTCTGGCCCCAGCAAAGCACCTGCCTAGGCCTGCCCACTCCCTCTGTGAGGAAGCTGCCCCACCAGTAGGAAGAGCAGCCAAGGGGTAAATCTGTCATCTTTCAAAATATTACTTCTCATCACTCCTGGCACTCTTAATTATGAGGTAGCCTCAATACAGCTTCTTGAAATAGCAGCACAGCTAACTTCAGGGTGCAAATTCGGTCCAAGCTGCACTTAGCAGGTGCTTGGCACAGCAGCGGTGGAAAGCTGCAGAGCTGCAGAGAAGCACTGTCACTTCCACTTTCTCAGGTTCTGCCCTTTGTCTGAGCTGCGGCCAGCACTGCTCCCCCGTACTGACCCCAGGGCCAGGCTGTGCCACACAGCTCTGTGGGGCCTGGACAGCTACAACCTCTTCTGTGTGGGTTCCACGCCCACCTTCAGCCCAAAATGCTCTTCTCACAGCACTGAATAGCTGATTCAACCTCTGCCCTGGCTCTGCCCACAGAAGTCTCCCAACAAGCCCTTCCCATGGTTTTACTAACCCCTCGGAGGCCCATGTGTACCACGATGATCTAAGTCAGTGGAACACCATCAAGTACCACTCCCCACTCTGGTTTCTGAGCTGCGGCAGCCCCTCTCCACTCTTCCAGTCCAGCCCTGCCCCCTCCCCCTTTCCCACTGTGCACCAATGCATCCCATTCTCTCAGTCCTCATCAGCCCAGCCAGTCAGGGCACTGTCCACATGTGCCCACATGCTCACCTGGAACTGCTCCCATGGTTCCCATCTACACCCCTCTGGAATGCTCTCTCCTGCCCTTGCCACGTGGCCCTCACAGCTATGCTCAAACATTATCTCTTCCCACAAAATCCTTCTAAGTGACACAGCTCTAGTGCCAGAAGCACCCAAATTCATATGCAGGCTCTGCTACTTCAAAAAGCATGGCCTTAGGCAAATGGTTTGCCCTCTCTGTGCCTTTTTCACACATAATGGCACCCAGGCTCAAGGTGACTGGAGATTAAACAGTTAAACACAGGCACACCATTTAGCAGAATACCTGGTATACTGTAAGGGCTAGTAAATGCCAGCCATGAGCGCTGCTCACGTTCGTCAACTTCAGTCCCTCCGGATTGCCTGTGTGTTTAACCCTCTTTACCATAAAACTTCATGTTAATCTGTTTTCAAATATCCATGGCTGCCTCACATTATTGCTTCTTATCTCCACTTGGTGGTAAGCATCACGGGCCAGCTGAATCTTACACTTCTGTACAAGGAAGCCTTGGTCCAGCCCTGAGACAGTCCAATCCCCCTTCACGACAGTCACTCTGAGCACTCAGGGTTAAACTACAGGGAATATACTGGAAACTAACAACCTCTCCCCTCATGACCTCAGCCAAGTTTAATATTAAAAAGTCTCAGGAGAAAAGCTAGTATGACTAACTGACCTTTCTCCTAGACTTGACAAGATATCCAGAGCCCACAACAAGGGACAGCGTAAAAAAGGAGACACACAGAGCAGCTTGACTCTCTTACCTCTGGGTGTCGGTCCAGGTCACTGAGAGTTAAGCCATACTGCAGGATGAGCTGGCGGGCCTATGGAGGACAGGAAAAGGCAGGCATAACTCTGAGCACGTGGCAAGGATTCTCAGAATCCTTTTGATTTTAAGTGTCAGACACCAAGGGCTGATCAAGCAACCCTACTCCCAAATCCAATCTGGTGCACCAACCGGTACCATGAATGGCAAAACTAAGTTAATTCAAACTGGGGGCTGAAAGGAGGCAAACAGCACATAGTGAAGACTGTTCCAGCGTTAGGCAAACAGTTCCTCAGTGACCTAGACCCCTAAAACGTCTAGTAATATAGAATATTTTTTTAAAACTTCTGTAAACAAGAACCAAGTATTAGAAAAGTTTTAAAAACAATCTAACAGTATGAAGAAAGATTGAGGAAGATCAGTCTGAATTGATACACAGTGATTTCCAGGCTATATATTATTGAATAAAAATAAGCCAAAAAAAACCCTCTACTCTCAAAAGAGTATATGATGGCAGTACTTCCAGAATGGACAAGTGAGGAGCTTAGCAAATTGAGAGCACCAGACCAGGAAAGATTCAGGATGTCTGTGGGAAAAGGTAGCATCATTTACTTTAGAGGCATGCCTCATAGTTAACCATTCAAACCAGCTGACAAAAGGAGAGAGCAGTGGTTACCACCACCTCATGGCCCTGCACAGGATTCCTTGCTGGTTATTCCATAATAAGTACACCATGAACCTTTGAGTTTGATCACCCAAGTAAGTCCAAGTGGAGGGATCTGTGCGCATGTCATTGCTTATAACATGCAGTTTGAGTTTGAGGGGACAAAAAACAAAACAGTACCTCTGAAGGAGTGAATTTTTAAGAGTCCTGTGAAATGTGAATCACTCCCATACCTAATCAACTGGAATCGGCCAGCATTTTCTAGACCAGTCCATTGTGCTTAGTTGCCACCACGAACACCTGTAGGTTAGGAGCATGCTATCTTAAAAACACAGGATCAAGCTTCCGAACGCAGATAGCAATTTCAACACCTATATTTAGCTCACTTCTTCCACAAAACCTCCCTGAAACTACAATAAAGGAACAAACCAAAAAGAGGAGAAAAGAGCAATGAACTTCTAAAAGCTGATGGACAACAATGGACATTGGTAAATGGCAGAAATGAGAAAGAGAAATCTTAAGTCAGTACTGGAGAGAGTCAAGAAGCAACCACATTAACAGCACAGAACCTCCCAAAAGGTTCAGAGTTCGGTGGCATTGTGAACTTCAGGAAGCAGACATGATGGTGGCAGTAAAAAAAGGAAGACGGGATGAAAGAGTATTTAAGAATCTGTTAAACCTCATTATCTTTCTCCACTACTGCCAAAGCAGTGTGTTTATCTTCTGGAGTAGGTCAAACTGCAGGAACTGGGACAGGACTGCAGGCACAGAAGACAGGGGTACTCTACCAGTGCACCTTTGCTGTGTAGCAACTACCCCAAAACTCAGAGGCCTAGAATTTGTTGATTATCATGATTCTGCAGACTGACTGGGATGCCTCTAGGCTGGGCTGGCTGGTATAGAATGGTTTCAGTCATAAGCTTGGAGCTGCTTAGCTTCTCATCCTCAGGAGAGCAGCCTGGGCTTGTTCACTTGGTGGCAGAATGGTTTCAGCAGCTAGAGGGATGAAGCCCCAGTACGTTTCAAGCCTCTGCTGGTGTGCTACTTAGTCCCATGCCATTGCCAAAACAAGTCATAAGATCAAGCCCAGAGTCCAAAGAACTACTACAAAATGTTGTAGACACTTTCCCACCTGCAACAGGTATAGCAAAAATGGGGGAACTGAGAGCAAGTTCACATCCAGAATGATGACATGTCTCCTTCCTAGCCCTCTTCACCTCCTCAGCTCCCAGGACACAGGGAGGCATGCACACTCCTCCGAAAAGGGCCACTGAGTAGTCTTCTCAGGGAAATCTGACCCCTCAGAGCAAGGACAGAAGACCTGGTATCAGGAGTTTCCCAAGATAAGAGCTTGGCATACAAGCCTAGAGTGAAGGACACCCTCATCCTGAGGGCTAGTTTCCAATCAGCTTCTTAGGCCACTTGTCTTCCAAGTAAGCAGACAGCTAAGGAATGCCATATAAGAAATGCAGGAGTATAATTTTTTAAAAAAACAAAGCAAGTTAACAATATTTTGGCTGTGTTGGTTGTTACATGAGTGTATCAAAATTGGGTAAATTTTACTGTATGTAAATTATATCTCCAACAAAGAATAAAGAATAACTTTGAGGAAACAGATTGTGATAAAATGAATCAAAAGAAATACATACTTGGTCATTCAGAGGACCAAATATGTATTTCCCAGGTATATGTGGTCTTCATCGAAAGTTGCTGAATACACACTGCAGAGTCTTAAAGGTGAACTAGGTGTTTTGTCAAGTTAATGAGAGACTTTTGGACCCCCACCAAGGGCAGGGGCTGGAGGTTGAATCAGCCAACGGCCAATGATTTACTCAATCATGACCGTAATGCAGGCCTCACAAAAACCCCTGAGAAGAGCTTATCACTCTCTCTCTACTTTGCTTGGTTGTGTCCTGTTTCTGTCAGAGAGCTTTTAAGCTTGGGCTACTAGAATGCCTCCACATGCCACCAAGCCAGGCCCCAAGTTCCACAAGGATAGAAGCTCCTTTACTTGGGACTTGCCCTGTGTCTCTCTTCATCTGGCTGTTAATTTGAATCCTTTACGGTATCCTTTATTAAATGGGTAAACTAAGTATTTTCCTGAGTTCTGTGAGACGCTCTAGCAAATTAATCATACCCGGGGAGGTTGTGGGATCCTTCAATCTGTAGCCAGTAGGTCAGAAGCCCAGGGCTTGCGACCGCTGTCTGGCATTGTGGGTAGAGGGCAGTCTTGTAGTATGGGCCCTTAAACCTGGGGAATCTGGTGCTGTCTCTGAGCAAATAGTATCTGAATAGAGTGCAGTTTTTAGACACCCTCCTAGTGTTAGAGAATTGTTTGGTTTAGTATGTGTGGGAAGACCCCCTCCCACATACTTACACACATTGGAATTGGGTCCGGGAACCCAAATGGTGTGCGTTATACTACTATTACTATTGTGTATAATATTATTTTATATATATATATATATATATATACATATATACATATATGTAGGAAAAAAATACACCATTGCATTTGGTGTTGGACAAGTGGGAATAACACAGATATATAAGGAGAAAAAAGATCTTAAAACAATTATCATTAACTTCCTCAGGGAGATAAGAAATTTTAAAAATTGAACCCATAAAACAAGAATACAAAAAAAAACTTTCAAAGAACAAAAAAAGAATTACTACTTGAAATTAAACATGTGAGAGCAAAATAAGCTCAGTGGAAGGACTAGGAAGAGAAAAAGGTGAAAAGACAGAGAGTAAAACAGGCCACAAGTGCAAGGACACAGTAAAGGTTCTAGAGAAATGACATGATATTGTACATAAAAAAACCTAAAGAATCCACTCCAAAACTACTAGAACTAATATCTGAATTCAGCAAAGTTGCAGGATACAAAATTAATACACAGAAATCTGTTGCTTTCCTATACACTAATGATGAATTAACAGAAAGAGAAATCAGGAAAACAATTCCATTCACAATTGCATCAAAAAGAATCAAGTACCTAGGAATAAACTTAACCAAGAAAGTGAAAGACCTATATCTTGACAACTATAAAACACTCATGAGAGTAATTAAAAGAGGACACTAGTAAATGGAAATTCATCCCATGCTTTGGGTAAGAAGAATTAATATTGTCAAAATGGCCATCCTGCCTAAAGCAATCTACAGATTCAATGCAATCCCTATCAAAACACCAACAGCATTCTTCAACAAACCGGAACAAATAGTTCTAAAATTCATACGGAACCACAAAAGACCCTGAATAGCCAAGGCAATCCTGAGAAAGAAGAATAAAGCAGGGGGGATTATGCTCCCCAACTTCAAGCTCTACTACAAAGCCACAGTAATCAAGACAATTTGGTACTAGCACAAGAACAGACCCAAAGACCAATGGAACAGACTAGAGAGTCCAGATATGAACCCAAGCATATATGGTCAATTAATATACAATAAAGGAGCCATGGATATACAACGGGGAAATGACAGCCTCTTCACGATGTTGGCAAAACTAGACAGCTACATGTAAGAGAATGAAATTGGATTACTGTCTAACTCCATACACAAAGGTAACCTCAGAATGGATCAAAGACCTGAATATAAGTCATGAAACCATAAAACTCTTAGAGGAAAACATAGGCAAAAATCTCTTGAATATAAAATGAGTAACTTTTTCATGAACATATCTCCCCAGGCAAGGGAAACAAAAGCAAAAATGAACAAGTGGGACTATATCAAACTAAAAAGCTTCTGTACAGCAAAGGACACCTTCAATAGAACAAAAAGGCATCCTACAATATGGGAGAATATATTCATAAATGACATATTCAATAAGGGGTTAACATCCAAAACATATAAAGAGCTCATGTGCCTCAACAACCAAAAAGCAAATAATACAATTAAAAAATGGGCAGAGGATCTGAACAGACACTTCTCCAAAGAAGAAATTCATATGGCCAACAGGCCCATGAAAAGATGCTCCACATTGCTAATCATCAGAGAAATGCAAATTAAAATCACAATGAGATCACCTCACACCAGTTAGGATGGCCAGCATGGAAAAGACAAACAACAACAAATGCTGGGAGGATGTGGAGAAAAAGAAATCCTCCTACACTACTGGTGTGAATGTAAATTAGTTTAACCATTGTAGAAAGCAGTATGAGGTTCCTCAAAAAACTCAAGATAGAAATACCACTTGACCCAGGAATTCCACTCCTAGGAATTTACCCTAAGAATAGAGGATCCCAGATTCAAAAAGACATATGCACCCCTATGTTTATCATAGTACTATTTACAATAGCCAAGATTTGGAAGCAACCTAAGTGTCCATCAGTACATGAATGGATAAAGAAGATGTGGTACATATACATAATGAAATATTATTCAGCCATAAGAAGAAAATAAATCCTACCATTTGCAACAACATGGATGGAGCTAGAGGGTATCATGCTCAGTGAAATAAGCCAGGTGGAGAAAGACAAGTACCAAATGATTTTACTCATTTGTGGAGTATAACAACAAAGCAAAAACTGAAGGAACAAAACAGCAGCAGACTCACAGAACCCAAGAATGGAGTGGCGGTTACCAAAGGGAAGAGGGTGGGGAGGGTGGGGAGGGAGGGAGGGAGAAGAGGATTAAGGCGCATTATGATTTGTACACATAATATAGTGAGGGCACAGGAAAGGAAGTATAGCACAGAGAAGACAAGTAGTGACTCTACAGCATCTTACTATGTTGATGGACAGTGACTGTAATGGGGTATGTGGTGGGTCTTGATAATGGGGGGACTCTAGTAAACACAATGTTGCTCATGTGATTGTATATCAATGATACCTTAATAATAAATAAATAAATAAGGGTCCTAGAAAGAATGTCCAGAAAAAAGAAAGGAAATAAAATCAAAGGGATAATAGGGAAGAAACCCAAAATTGAAGAGTGTGAATTTGCAGAATGAAATGTTCCAGCAAATATGCAGCATAGCGGACAAAAAGCCCACACCAAGGCACAGCACAGGGCAATTTCAGAACACTAGAGACAAAATAGGCTTCCTAGAAAGGATCAAGAATGAGAACATCATGTTCCTCAACAGCAAGCTGAAAACCAGAAAACAGAGAAGTAACTTCAAAATTCCTCTAAGAAATGACTTGACATAGAATTATCTCATAAAATAACTGACTTCAGAGAGGCTGTAATACAGACATTTTCAGATGCCTGACGTGTCAGCAAACTTGCATCCTATACACTCGGGTAGCTAACCTAAGGGGTGTGCTTCACCAAAACCAAAGGAAACAGAGCAAAACGGTGTGGGGAAGAATGAGGAGGGAAATGGGACAGCAGAGTAGGAAACCTCCTGACTACGAAGGGGGACCCAAAGACATCAGCCAAGTGCAGCTGCTATAGCACTAGCACCCTGAGGACCCACAGAGACTTGGCCAAGAACAGGAAACCGATGGGTTGGAAAGAAGTGAGACTGCCCCACCTGGGTATGGGTTTGGGGCTGAATCAGATAAAGTGCACAGACAACCAAGCAAATGAAAAAAACAAAGGCAACATTTACTGAACTTTCAGGAAAACAAAACAATGGATAGATAAGGAGGAGTAATCATAGGTCACGTCACAGCTCAGCCACAGTTTGGACATCACAGTTCTATAAACACCGAATAAGGCCTCACCAAGACGTTACTGTACTGGGAGCCTGGGAGAGAAAGGTGTGTGTAGAGGAGGTGGTGAAGTAAAGATGACCAGATGCTCATCTTCCATTCATCCATTCAACTCAAGTTAAAAAAATTTTTTTTTAAATAGCAAAAAAGCATGTAGTTTTGAAATACGGGAGCAAATATCCAATCAGCTAAGAGTTTTTAAAAGTATGTCCATCTAAATAGCAAGAAACGCTGGTGGTCAGGGGAAAAGGATAAGAAGGTGTTGGGGCTTTTTTTTTTAAATAAAAAGACTTGGATTATTTGATTCTTCAATCCATGTGTGTATAACTTCAATTAAAAATAAACAGCAACATAAAATAATTTATTAAATAAGAAACATACAGATGAGCAAACCACTTGGAAAAATTATAAGCTTAGCTTTTCAAAAGACCAAGAAAGCCCACCACAACCACCCTGACTTTAAAGCACCAACTCAGGGAAGCTGGATTTCAAAGGCTAAAGAAGCAATGGGAAATTAATCAGTTCCTAGCCTGGAGCAGGAGTTCAGGTTTTGTCTTCAGTTCCCTGGTTGCCTACCCTCCCTGTTCGGGGTCCCCAAGAGGTCCCTGGAAGATACGACAGCACGGACTATCCTGTCTGCCTGGAACCCCTCCCGCCACACCCTACTCTGACAGGCTGAGGCACACGCCTGGCTCTGGGGGAATCGCTCGGCCCGTCAGTGCTCTCCCCCTTCACCAGAGCTACCTTCAGGCTGCCGGCTGAGCCTCCAGGATTGGGAACGTTTCCTAAGACCCTGCTGTCTAAACCCACAGAGCCACAGGAGCACCATCCACCTGCAGCTCCAAGCTTCACCCCAGTGCCCAGCATCACCGTGAAGAATCCAGTGAGAGATCATATGCATCCCCGTCCCACAAGGCCAGATGGGAGATGGGATGGCTCCGAGCACCTCTCCTCTGTTCCCTCCCCAAAGACTACTCTCCCCTGGTCCTTCCTCATATTTAACTGGCTCTACTGCCTTCCTCCACCAGCCCCTACTATTTTACAGTAAAAGAGCATTAGCCTCAGCGGACTCAGATAATATACTTGCATTACTAACATTTCACTTAATGCGCGTTAGCCTCAGTTTTTCATCTGTAAAGGGAGGTAATATTCCTGGAGGAGAGAGACCATGTGGTCACTTGCACATACTCCATTGTGCCTAATACAAGATACACTGAAAGGGTCACTTAGTGAGTCCATGAGGCCTAAAACCACACTTCTGAGGTGCGACCCTCAGTGAATGAACTCCTCTCCTGCTCCTGGCTCCCTCACCTAGATCAACCCCAGGGCACAACCCAAAGCCTTGTCCTCGGGGGGGCCCTGCAAGACTCAGCAGCAACTGCCCAGGCGCAGAATGGAAAGCAGGACATACCTGGAAGGAAGTGGGAATACAGACGAGGTTCAGCTTCTCTTGTTTCACTCTTTCAGCTGTGGAGACAAAAGCTGTGTTGGTGGTTTTTCACTCTCCTCACTTTATTTTTCTTGTAGTGTATACACTTGCCCAGATCCAACAGAAAAAGAAAGGTCTGCCCCCCACTGACAGCTGCCCTTCATTCTGTGTCCCCCCCCTCGGTGAAAGCTTGCTGAATGTAAGTCACACATCACAAGACAGGGACACTGGAAAGCCTGAGGGGGTAAGTACTAACTACAGAAGGAGCAAGTTACCCAAAGCAAAGGAGCAATTGTAACCCAAAGGTAAGTTACTATTATCATCCTCCTTTGGCAGATATGGTAACTGAGGCACACAGACGTAAAGTAACTGGTTGTTACACAGCTCATGTGTGGTATGGTCCCACAGTCTAAACTACTTTCCTATGATGCCTTTTACAGGGAAAAGCTGGAACTTCACTTTTTATATTTAGTAAAAAATATAATCACTTGTAGGCCCCAGAGGGTGATTAAAGAAAGTTGAATCATTCTGGAATTATACCTTTTCAGATAACTTGATTAAAAAATTAAAAAGTTGTAAGGACATGAACAGTCTTTTTAAAATTTCAAGTCTTTTTAATCACTGGGTCTGGACCATGGGAGGTTTAGATACCACTAGGAGTCCCAAGCAATTCCTAGACCCTCAAATCCTCTACGCACTCATTGCTAAGGCAGACAGGTGTGCAACACTAAAGCCCTTGTTAGGCCAATGAGAAGGCTTCCAGAAGTCATCACGCCATCACCAAACCAGTCCTTAAGACAAAGCGTTCCTGGGCTTAGTCTCTTGAGCACTGCCCCTGGCACCTAGAAGCTATCAGCCTTCAGGCAAGCCTCTGAGCTTTGTTCTCACAAAGAAGAACTGGGCAGTTAAACCTGTTGAACAGCTCTCCCGTGCTGATAATAGGATCCTGAGTCTTTCCTAAGCACAAAAACACCCTAATCAGAATGAAGTCAGCAGCTGCAGGAACCAGCCACCAATAGCAGGCGCCTCACATCCACTCCAAGGTCATGGACAGGGCACCTGCTCTGACCTCCACCTGTGTGCCTGGGCTTGCCTGAGGAACCCACAGGCTTCTTAGGGCTGGCCTCCGGGTCCATGCAGCCACACTCAGGACCCCTCATGATGATTAACATTCCGTTGAGACCTCACCCTAAACAGCTCCTCCCCACCAACCAAGCAGAGTAAACAAAGCCAGGGTTGGCTGTAAACAAACTCCAAAGTTGGCTGAAGAGGACTAAGAACACCTCTCAGAGAAGAGCAGAAGCAGAAACTCAAATAACCTCAGGCAGGTGCACTGCTGGAGCTCAGCTGGGCAGGTGCCAAACCTGTGCCCCTGCTTCCTCTCCCTCCTCCACCTCCCCACCTCCATCATCCCACACAAAACATCCAGGACACAGCCTAGGAACATACCTATTCGCTGCACAGCATGGACAATTGTAGAACCACTTCCAATTCCCAGGACTTGATTATTCTGCCAAAAATGGGGTGGAAAAAGCAAAACTTATTAATATCCAATTTAACTCCCTTTTCAGTTCACTTCCTACAGATATAAAATTACTATGAACAGCAATTCACCAACATAGCTACAAAGTCAGTACTGTGCCCATTTTATAGAAACAGAACCCCAGAACCTCAAACCTGTACTTTATCCTAGTGCCTAGCGGCAATTTACAGCAGAGCCCTCCTCCTTTCATCCCTGATGCTGACATCACCATTTCCTCCTGTTAAAAGATAAACTATCCAGGCATATTTAAAGAAGGAAGAACAATCCCAAATGAATAGTCTAAAGACACAATTAGCGAAATTGGAAAAAGAAGAACAAATGAGGCCTAAAGTCAGCAGAGGGGACATACTAAAGATCAGAGAAGAAATAAATAAAATTGAGAAGAATAAAACAATAGAAAAAAATCAATGAAACCAAAAGCTGGTTCTTTGAGAAAATGAACAAAATAGATAGACCCCTAGCCAGACTTATAAAAGAAAAAGAGAATCTACACACATCAGCAGAATCAGAAATGAGAAAGGAAAAATCACGACGGACCCCACAGGAATACAAACAATTATTAGAGAATACTACAAAAACTATATGCTAACAAGCTGGAAAACCTAGAAGAAATGAACAACTTCCTAGAAAAATACAACCTTCCAAGACTGACCAAGGAAGAAACAGAAAATCTAAACAGACCAATTACCAGCAAAGAAATTGAATCAGTAA